CAAGTCTCACATTTTCCTTTCTTTTCACAAAACCAAAGATTCCATCTGAAAAGTAATTTTCACTGAAGATGTTCAGCCAGGCATAGATAGACTTGGGATGTTATTGCCTGGATGCAGAAGAAATGCTGTGGTTTGACCAACCTGCTGCAGACTTCTATAATAAAACAAAAGAAGACTTCACCTGTGTGGTGGGGGAAGCCACCTTATGGGGTTCTAGAGATCTTAATGGCCATAAAATTCATTAATTAAAGAAAGATATAGAATGAACGTAGTGCTGACAATTAGTGTGCTGGGTAACTTCACAGTGCACCTAAAGGATCAGGCATCACAGGACTCAGATGCAGGATGCCTGGTTTCTGAATCCCAAATTGCTTGAGTTAGGCAGCAAACAGCCAGAAGAGGATTTGGCTCCCTTTGCATTGGACGTGAATTTAGGTGTCCACTCTGAGCTGCACACTCAGTGCAGCTCCTTGCCCTCACAGTGGGGAGGCAGGTGCCTCCATGGAACAGTCAGGCAATCTTAAACTACACATCTGAGCCATGTGGGAAGAATCACCACCAAAGAGGTGAAGCAAACATATTTAATATCTGCCTTGTAGGTGGGTAATGTCAGTGGGTACAGAGTCACCCCAAATCTTTAGCTCCTGCAAGACTACTGTGGCAGTGATAAGTGCTGCAGGGGGGTTTCAGGATGGCAAGGGTGTATCACTGGTGAGCAAAGTCATTTGTAGACTCTCAGACATCTGCAGGAGGCAAGTGTTTTTAGCTTTTGTTTTTAAGCAGTATGGGTCCTTTTACATTCTAAATTGCACTTCAGGTGAAGAACCACTATTTTGGAACTGGCAGACCATAGGAATCCGACACTTAAAATTAGCTAAAAATCACATATGAGTGTGCTTATTTGGGTTTTGGCTTGACAGGTTTCAAAATCTATTTCTGTATAATAAAATTCTTCCAGAAGTATCTTTTTCTCTCTCTTGATTATAATAGAAACATAGATGACAAACACTTAGAAGACAACCTCAGACATAGCTCCTTAGCTTCTGGATGTCTCAAATTAGGTGAGCTGAGTCCCACCTTAGGTATTCAGACTAATGGCATTATGGAAATCTCCATTATGATTAATGAAAGGGACAGGCATGCCCGGAAGGTGATTTAGCCCATCCTATCACAGACAGATAAAGGGAAGAATGCACAAATCTCTAGAAATATTTCTCTCTCTCTTTTCTGTAGGAATCCTAGAAGAGGCTTAGACTAGGTTACAAACTTATAGGCTGTAAAAACTAAATCAAATTAATCACACTCTTCACTTCCTCTCCGCTCTATGCAGAAAATGTAGACAATAGTACTATTTTACCCCTTCTATGAATTAAGTTACAGCAAAAGACATCCAGAGATGTCACAGTGGGCGAGATGGTGAAAAAGGTGCAACAGTAGTATAGTTTTTAACCTTGTTTTCTTTCTGGATAGAATAAGGACTGCTATGATTTAGGTAAGTGTGATAAGGCACGGAGGAGAGTTTATTCTGTGTGGGTGGATGGACAAGACCATACTTAGATGTGTTAGATGTGCTGTTCAGAATGACTCCTCAACATTTGGCTGTTGCCCGGATATGAAGACATGGAGAGAAGGAGAAAACCAAGCTGAAGATGGTGCCTAGGCAGGAGCATGACTGACGTGTAGGATGATAATGTTGTCCACAGAGACTGAGAACGAAGGTGGAGGAGTGAGGAGACAGAGCTTGGGAGAAAAGTTCAAGAGCTCCATTTTATACATATTGAGCTTGATCTGACAGCTAGACATCCACTAGGAGATGCTGGAAAGACAGGCCAAGATTTTAGTTTGGACAGGAGTCATTCCTGCAGCAGAGAAGTTGGATCTGCAAGCTGTCACTACAGAAATAGTAGCTGAATTTGTGTTGGTGGGTAAGGCTGCTAGGGACAACGCTTAGATGAATAAGAGAAGAGAATCAAGGGAATAGACCTGTTTATGCCCAGATATGGATGGAGAAGAGAGATAGGAGAGGACAGAATAACGAAACCTGAAGGTAGAGGGCATATAATTGTTATAAATGCATTATGAATACAGGCAAAAGTACATGAAAACTATGATCTCTCACAAAGAAGGATTTGAAGGTCAAGTAAAACACTATTGTGAAGCTGATGAGTTGATAGGCAATCTAATTTTAAAAGACTGAAAAAAACTCTCTTGGCAGGTACATATGGAAGGAACTTTGGGCCTGATCAAAAGTAAGAGATTTTGGGAAAGTTATTTCTCAAAGCAGTTGATTGTGTGAAAATTGGAAAGCTGCAGACCTATTTGGTGGGCCCATAGGAGAAAAAAGTGCCTTGCATAGAGAAGCGGGCTTGTGATGGATGGTGGTCAGGCACCTGTCCAAGGAAAGGTTAATAAAAAAAAAGAAAAAACTTTCATAAAAGAAAGTTGCCTTTTGAAACTATTAGGCAACATATGTTGTGTGAACAGGAAGTCACAGTAGAGCAATAATCCTGACAGCTGTGGAGAAACAGGAGTCTGCTGCAGGAGCGAACGGCTCGAGACCTGACAAGAATGATGATGGATGCCCCATTGGTAGTACACGAGGACAAGTCAAGAGACGTTTAAATTGGCTGAACCACAGGAACAACTTGGAGTTGGCATCGCAGCTGGACAAATGAGGCCTGTCCTAATGGTGAGAGCAATGGGAGGCGGGGACGGAAGGAAGATGGCAGCAATGCATCCCTCCTTTCCAAGGACAAGGGCTACATTGCCATCTCACCACGAGGTGGCTGCATTTCCCTGTGAACATCCAAGTCCTGCAGGAAGCTGTACACCCTGAAGCACCATGAAAATGTGAGTGGGAACAGAGATCACTTGAAGAATTTGGCTCATCGCAATCAAAGCACATTTGGAGGCCCTGTGGGAAAATCAGTGTGCGCTCTGTGTCTTGATCAAGTGGGAGTCCACTTGACAGGTCCTCGCTGAGCAATGGTAGCTACCCATGCGCCTGCTCGCAGCTCATGGGAGATACAAGGCAACGCCACGTAACTTAGCTTACAATAAAGAGGATGACATTCATAATTTTCTACTTGCTTTTCCTGTGAACTAAGAGTACACATGTGAACTGCTGCCGAGGTTTAGTCAATTCATGGAAACTTGTCAAACCATGGAAACTCAATGGTGAATCTGGGATGTGCAGCTACTAAGGGTTAAATTGTGATGCTTTTTCAGGTGTCTGGATTTGATTATTCAAGAACATTTCTAGAACAGGTATTTGAGTCAAATACGTCAAGAGGAAAAATGGTCCCATAAAAAACTGACTGATGAAATTGCCAAATTCTTCATTATTTTGCACATCCTAAGTTCAGTTGATGTCAGCAGGATGGAACAGAAATTTGCTCCCAAGTGGTCAAGAGATGAGTATCTTTTCTTATCTAATGTGGGCTGAAAATAGGAAGGATAAGAGGTGAGGAAGGTTAAGGATATTTTGGTTATAGTAAATCTAGATAAAATCTTCAACTCTCCTTGGGTTTTGTCTGGTTTTTCTCATCTTTCTCATACCTATGTCACTTAAGTTTGCAAGGTTTTAGGACAAGAACTGCCTTTTTATTACACCTTTTTCGAGGCACCACACCTTGTGGAACTGCAATTCCTGATGTCAGTTTAAACACATTATCACTTTGGGTCAAAGTTTGAAAGTAAGTCATTAAAAGTACCTCTTTGACCTGTTTCAGGAAAGATGCCCATAATATTAACATCAAGCCCAGCATTTGGCTTTTTAAGAAGGAATCTTTTAGGAAGAGATTCCAAAAAGTATTGTAATGCTTCAAAAAATTGAGACCACCATCTGTAATGAAAGTTTTTGCAATAGCATCACTGGTAAACATGTACTATTTTTAATCTGATTTGTCTAAGATGGGGTTCCAAAAAATGAAATCTTGATGACTTGCTACTTTTAGAAACCTTTTCCCCTGTAAAGAATTTTCCATATTTGTCCCTGCAAAGACCAAGAGACAATCTGCTGGCCCACTTTAAACTTATTTGGATAAATTCATGAATTTACATTAGAGTTTCTTACTGAAAGGAAGACTTTACACTATTAAATATTTTTATTGAGCTTTTTTGTATCCTTTCCAAGTTGTTGTCATGCTTCTTAGCCTTTCATGATTTACACTGTGAATAATTAGTAATAAAAATAAAATACTATTATAATAAACCAAAACATGTTGGACCAGATTGTCTTCCCTTACTGTCAGTGGAATGCCTCACAATCCTCTGGGTCTGTGTGATGGTGAACAGATATAAATTTGCGTAGAAAGTACATTCTATTTCTACCTTCCTGAACTATCAGGCTTGAAACTCTATAGTACTAGACATTTGTCCAAGTGGGATGAACTCTCAAATGTTTCCTGGAATATTATTTTAGTTGGTCTGACTGTCTTTCAAAGGTTGGATGTAGAGGACCACATTTATGCCTAGGTAGGCCATTTTGTAGTAGTAGTAGCGAGGTGTCCATCACTATGTGATTTCTTTCTAACTTCCAGTCCATCAGGTGAACATACTGCTCTCTGCTGAATGCTGGTGAGTTCTTTGTCCTTCTTCTAAAGGCAGGGACTCTTTGGGGAGGGAAAACAAAGAAGCCCTGAGACACAAGCTTCTGCTTGATTCATCCCTCTGAAACTTGAAAGGTTACATTCATGGTGAGTTTGACTGAAGGTTTTTGGCATCTGTGAACCATATGTCTTTTTTACACGTCACCAAAACTGCTGGTGACAGAGCACAGCACCCCTTGGGGTTCTGCACCTGTGTGAACTGATAGTGTCATCCCCACCTTTCCACTGATGGGTTAAGCACACTCAAGGCCCTGCATGCCTGAGGTGTTATCTACCTTTCCTGAAAGATGGGTTGCAGAGCATAGATCAATCCTTCCCCCTCCTCAGTCAGACCACAGGATCGCAAAGGCTGGACTGACCCTGATTTGTGTGTGTTGCAGAGCTACTCACCGGCATGGTCTGACTGCCATGCAAGGCGTTGATGGCTGCTTGGGCCTCCGCATGTGAAGAGTACTTCACAAATGCACACCCTGGAAGAGGAAAAAGAAAATCATAAGAAAGCTTGCATATATACAATTAAAGCCCATCCATATGAGTATCCTGCCCTCAGAATTGGCCAGTAAAGATGCTTGAGGAGAAAACATAACAGGAAAACATGCTTCTGGTTATTTCTGCCCAAAGTCCAGCCATCAGCAGCCTGAGGACCTCTTAAGGAAAAGCTGCATCCAGAATTTCCATGCTGCTTGCAATGGGCACTGATGGACCCAAACTTCACATGTACATATTGAAACCACTTACATTTTGATTTCCACAACTTCCCATACCAGTGTTGCACAATTTCACAATTTATTGGGTGAAAATTAATTTCCTTTTATTCGTATTGGACTTAGTGCTGAATACTCCTCCCCCTGGTATTATGAGAAACTGTAAGGAATTGTGTAAAAGTTATCAGAAAGCTGCATGTACTTGTTACAAGCAACCACAGGACAGCTGTACAGGAGATATTCAGGTAACCCCAAACCCACAAGGCACCTTATCATATTGCTGTCTGAAAAAGCTCCATGACAGACTGCTCAGAGCTTGCTTGGCTCCAGGCAGCTTTGATCTGACAAAGCATGAGAGCTTCTGATGAAGAAGCAGGGATGGGAGAGATCTGCATGTGATGATTGCCAGCTTCACACCACCAAAATTTGAAACTTAGTCTTCCACAGTCAATGTCACATCGTGAGCTGCATAACAAGTGCCTGCATAGGTGGTCTCCTCTGGACACTAGAGAAATGTAGGCAGTGCTTGTCTGGCCTGCATTGCCATGTGAAGAATCTCACACTAACTCTTACATAAAGCTTTAGGGCAGAAAGGTGTATTTATGAATATGTGCTGGAGTGCAGAAATGATCAACACTTCAAAGGGTCACATGCACCACTAGAGTGGGGGAAAGTATTGCTAACACTCTTAGTTACAAGCAAACTGACTCAGAGAGAGGAAGAGTAATTTCCATATGCTAAGGCTGTTTTTGGAACAGATTGGGAGAGATCTGAGAAGTTCTGGTTTCCGTTCCCTTCTGTTACTACCAAAGACTTTTGAGCTTTTTAATCAATTTGCAAAGCCCTAGCTGTTTCCCTGAAGGGGTACAGATCACTGTGCAAGGGATGCCACTTCTGACAAAGGGACAGCTCTCCTTTATTCCCGTTGCAACATCTTTAGAAGGCCCACACACCCTTATGGGTCCATACAGTGCAGGGTGAAAACTGCAGTGTTAGAACCTGCACACTAGAAGAACAAGCCCCAAAGGTCCCCAAAGTCATCACTGCAGCTTGATAGAAGTGAGATTAAAGAAAGGAGTGGTAGCCCCTTCTAAAAATAATACACACATAAGAAATTTGCTTACAGTTAGGAGCCCTTCACTTTGCATTATGCCCTCATCACTGTGCTTAGACTGCATTTCAGGAAAAGCACAACAATTGTTGCTAATAGTTGGATCTAATTTATAAAGAGCTGAGAGAAGACAATCATGAGAAAATGAGATAGATAAACTTCAGCTGGAAACAATAGGGATCAATTATGTCATAATCGCAGCCCAGCATTCCCGGGCTCCTGAGATACTGCGCCTTCCTCTTCATTAATCAGAGATAATCCAGAATTAGGGTGTTTAATTATTTGCAGAGATTCTTTTGTACTTTCTCCCTCTAAAAGAGAGATGCTGATTAGCAAATATACAAAAGCTTTCCAGCTCCAGTCACCCATTGCATTTAGAGCAGGATTTTTGGCTGAAATGCTGCTGTCATGTTGAAGGCTTCACTCTCTTCAGGTGAAATTCACTCCTGCACTGAGGAACTTGACAGATCACTGGAGCTGGATAAAGGTGGAAATGAAAGGAGTAGTGGGCATTTATCTTGTTTAATGCCCAAGATGCTAATAGGATACCTCCTACTGCTTCCTCTTACTGTTTCCAGTAGGTTTTGAGGTAGCAGGACAAATGAAAACTCATCTTTTACTGGTATATGGTGACAAGAAAATAGCAGAGATCCCAACATTTTGGCCCTTTGCTTTGTGTGTTCAATGAGATGCTGCTGTAAACAACACAAAATGTGCACATGATCTCCTTCATTCTCATTGTCACCAGAGCAGACTCCAAGGCCTCATGAGCACAGCACATGCCACTCTCGTCAGAATAGATAAGTGGCCCTTTGACAGGAGCAGATCTGGAGTCTGAAGTGACTTTGACACACAGAGAGATATATAACCTGTGCTGAACAGGGAGACACATGTGCGTAAGTCTTTTTTATATCCTTAGTTCCAGTTTATAGAGCTGGAAGGTCTGCTTTTACTGTCTTGTCAGCTTGGAGGAGACTGCAGAGTCAGGGCCTAAGGTTATAATTGCAAAGGGTGTTAAGTCTCCTCTTGTTGAACTTCTGGTGCCATGGGAAATCTTTACTCTCTGAGTTACTGAAGTAGACAACTGCTGAATGGGAAAAAAAATAAAAGACGGGGAAAGTACTGCACCTACCCCTGAGGGACTCATGCAGGATGTGTTTCTGCAGCTCCCTGAAGGATGTGCCTTATGGGTCAGGACATCACCCATGGCTTCAGGCGAGATTCGGGCAACTTTATGACTATGACTGAACTGCGGCTGTGCTAAAGTGGGAAGCTGGGACTTATCTTTGTAGCTTGTATCAAAGTACCTGGAGGACTTAAACGGTCACTGCAGGGGTACCTGGTGGTGCTTCATATAGTGGGTTGGGTAGGACTGAAGTCTATGGGACCTGATTGCTATCTGGCATTAGACAATGTTTAAATCTCATTTTAGGTAGACTTTAAGTCTTATGAATTTAACCCAAAATAAGTAGCTCACAGGCAATGTGTGTCACATATTGTTTTCTAACAGCTAGAAAACATTACAGACTGGGGATAAATTTGGGAGCTGTGGCTTGCCTGACTGTCTCCTAAGATAAGGGCACCAGCCTTAAGTTTTCTGTTGGATTGACTGTTCTGTGTGCGTGTGTGCGTGTATGAAACTGTGTGTGTGTAAATTAGGAGCTTCACATTCTCAGTAAATAGCACCAGCAAATGGAAGCTGGTAATATTAACTCTGTCAAGGCTCAGTATTGATCCTGAACAGCTCAGTGAAATGCAAGCCTTAGACTGCAGACTGCTAGCACTAATAATTAAACTGGTTAGCAAGATGGAGCTGCCACTCAGATTCAGACTGATAATGAAATTATTTAAGAAAAAAAAGAAAACTAGAGCAAGTATGAATACAAGTCTATGGATTTGATCTCCTTTGGAATCTGTTTTTTAAAGATCTCAGACTTTATTGCCTTTATTATTACCTTGTTTAACTCCTTTGTCATAGATTTTGTTCTGTACAATTCCAGGTGGAGGCAGACAGACATATATTTTCGCTTTTTCTCAATTTACTGATTTGTTCAGTGAATGGAGTGCTTAACTGCCTACCGTTATGATGGCTGGAGCTCTTCTAGGCCAACCACTGCTTTCCAGTGGGGCAACATCTGTCTTTGGGTGTCATGAAACTAAAGAAGTCATATAATTGAGGAAATGTGCCCACAGTTTATTTTCGTCATTTATACCAAGAAGGCTGAGCTTTGCTGACTTATATCAAACAGCTGCCTTATAATGCTGGTGTGAAGTCTCTTTTGGCTGCCAGTGATTTTATGGAATAGCAATATCTTTCTCCAGTGTATCACTGTGATTTGGATTTTTTGCCTCCCTGTTGCAAAAATATGCTGGCTGATGTTGTCACATGTCAAAATACCCGGTGAGATATGAACTGCGTCAGCAGGACCGGTCTCTTCTCTGATGCTGCACTTTCCAGCACCATTTATGATATATTATAAGCAGATCAATATTTAATGGACACATTATACTGTCAAGAGAAGAGGGCTTCCTATTCAAATTGAAGTTACTTTGTCTAGAGACTGACGGGGAAAAAAATGAACCTCTTATTCAAGAAAGAAGCCTCATGCTTACACCTGGGCTGTAGAAGAGGATCCTTTGTGCTATCCAGCTAAGAGTGAAGTCAAAAAGTGGCAGAAGGAGGTAAGGCACCTAGTTTTGAAATGAAGTATTTGTGTCTTTCAAACAGTAAATGCTTACTGAATGTAATATTTAAACCAACACCTGTACCATTGCAATTGTGATCACTGACTGGTGTATACATACACAAAGGCCAAGTGAAGAAGGGTAAGATCTGGGGCTGATGGGTGAGAAATAAGAACACAGAATCATAGAATGGTTTCGGTTGGAAACGATCTTTAAGATCATCGAGTGCAACCATAGATCCAGTCCTAAGTCCATCGCTAGACCACATCCCTAAGCATGACTCGTCTTTTAAACACTTCCAGGGATGGTGACTCAATGACCTTTTCAATGAAAAAATTCCTCCTAATATCCAATCCAAGCCTCCCCTGGTGCAACTTCAGGCCATTTCCCCTTGTCCTATCACTAGCTATGAAGGAAAAGAGACTGACCTCCGTCTTGCTACCCCCTCCTTTCAGGGAGTTCTAGAGGGTGATAAGGTCTCCCCTCAGTCTCCTCCAGACTAAACGACCCCATCTCCCTCAGCTGCTCCTCATAATTCTCATGCTCCAGACCCTTCACCAGCTTTGTTGCCCTTTTTTGGAAGTGCTCCAGCACCTCAATGTCCTTCTTGTAGTGAGAGGCCCAAAACTGAGCACCGTATTTGAAGTGCGGCCTTACCAATGCCAAGAGGGTCAACCACCTCCTTAGTCCTGCTGGCCACACTATTTCTGAAAAGACCCTGTGTTCAGAGGAAAGGCTCTGCTCTGCGACCAAACAGTAATAGGCATCAGTTTGCACATGGCGAGACATAGCTTGTTGAGGAGATGTGTTTTCAAGTGCAATCAGCTTTTTCCTCTCATCCACAAGCAGACAACAACCAGCAAAGTAATGGCCTCCCTTGGCAAACATGATCCTTCCTAATGTAAGAGATGCTGTCGTGGCAGCTCCATCGTGTATTTGTTACATCAGAAAATGATATATATACTGAAACTGGATCTAGCTTGACACAAAACATCACCATACCTTTGCTGTTGCCATCGGGTCCCCGAAGGATCGTGCACTCCTCGATGTTGCCAAATGCTTCAAATAGCCTGCGCACGTCATCTTCTGACTGCTGCTTATTGAGCATGCCCACAAAGAGTTTTCTGTCTTCTGGAACAAAATAAAGAGATGCTTACCATATTTTGGGAGAGATGTGAAAGCCAAGATGGCTCAGTATCACATGCAAAACAAACGGTGATTTCATTGAGGTGACATATTTCAGAAGCTGCTAGTCTTTTCAGGTGGCTGGCTTGAAAAACCTTAATAGCATCTGACTTTCTATGAGTACTTGAAAATAATTTGACAATTTAAAATAAACAAACCAGAGAGGTTTAGTTATATACAAAATCTTTAACTGCTTCTCAAAATCTAGGCACCAAATTCTTCCAAATCAGCTTTTTCTGATCAACTTTTGCAGTCAGCTTGCAGTAACTGAAATGACAACATTGCTCAGACTGTGATCGAAGAGGAATGTGGATAAAGATAGCATACAGAAATACAGCCCAAATGAAAAATAACGTAAGTTAGTAGCCCTCACAATACTACATAAGTTGCAAGAAAAAATGTTTAACATAAGCTGTTTTAAATCAGGATATAATGGATGCCAGAGCCTGTAAATGGAGATTTGCCACTCATACCCACTCACAGACATATATCTACAAGTTTTGGATGAGTTTTTAATATATTTTTAAAGTTTGTTTGAAATAAGCCCAAAGTTTTTGAAACATATATATTTTTTGAAACATAAGGTTAACTTATATGATTACTAATATCTGAGATAGATCAAGCGGGTGGTAATTCATTTCAAAGCAGGACATGGTCTGCTAGTAGATAAGTGTATTTTGAATGAGGAAGGCTATTTATGTCTTGGACTTATACCAAGTATGGGGACCTTCAGTCCAGAATGAAAGACCTTCAGAAAATGTTGGTTAAAACAGACCAAACTAATGACTGCTGAGTTGGTAGAAAGATCTGAAATGGCACTGAGTGGTGCCTCTAGATCAAGATTATGTTCAGAGACTGGTACCATTACACCAAGAAAAAAAAACATTTACATAGTTTACATCGTGTATGTAAACAGGCTATTTGCACATGATTCATAAATGTCTTATTTATCATTCATTAAACACTATGTAAATGTGTGAACTAAGAGGTTTTTTTCAGAGCAGTTTACAGAGCAGATGTAACCAATTTGAATAAATATATGTAAATAAATAAATAAATAGACTGATTTTTTAATTTATTTATTTTTAATGCACAAGTTAACCTAAAGCTGAATAAAACATTGGTTTGCAACAGCCTTTTTCTGGCTGACTAATTGGGCGATTTATGTCACTTTTGTTCACCGAGAAATCATCATTGTGGGCAATTTGTTCTGCTTCAACCAGTGTTTGATCAAAATTCCCCTGTCCAAGACGCACCTGCAAATTGGCAAACTATTTTACAGCCTTGGATGAGGATAGTTTTTCATGCAGTGGATATCGAGTGAGGATATTAGGAGCTTTCAATCCTGCAGTCGAGTTATCCATGTGAACTGAGCGTGTACACAGAAAAAAAGGAGTTATGTTGTCTTCAGTTAGGCTCCTGAAGTGGTAGGAAAAATAGGTTGTGGAGGGTACATGTGCATTTCTGATAGGGAAGAAAAACAGGAACAGCCCTCTGATAGACATATTAAAGCAAGAAATATGCCTACTTTATGTTGGAATTAATTAAGACCTTTTCAAGGTCTTCGCTAGCAACAAAAAGTTCAGGCTTTAACAATGCACAAAGCCCTAACTAACACCGAGTTGGTTGTCCCCACCTCAAGAGAAGGCGCTCTGGACATCTGAAATGTTCGTTTTCTTGATGGCCACACTGACCTCCAAGAGCATTTCAGAGGTGAGGTATAAGCATTAGAGAGGCAGTTACAGAAGTTGAGTGTGCGCCCTGTGGGGCATCTTTCAGTCTAGGGCTGGACAAAGCCTTGCAGAAAGACTCCAGTCCAAACTCCAGTGGTTGGCCAGATATTGGAGGAACCCCACCCCCCCACTGAATGACATCAACTCTCCTGGAATATGGGAGGTATTTCAGGAAGGGGACAGAACGGTAAGAGCGGAATGGGGACACCACTGGCAAAAAGCCTTGCCTAGAAAGTTCATGTCTAGTAAATACTTCCAGCGCAAAGGAAGCATCTGTTATATTGTACTTTATACAGTTTCCCCTGTTTCAAATAAGCTGCATCAGCAAAAACACTCCTGTAGCTATGTAACTGTATTTTCACTAGGCTTTTTGCTAATATAAATGTATCATTAAAAAAAAATCACATCCCTCCTCTGTCAGCAAAACTCTCTAGTGTGGAACTGGTCTGAAACTGCCTTGTCTGGTTTAGTTTATGCAAAGCTAAAACCAGGTGTTTTAGGAACCACTCAATTTTATAATCTATATAATTTTATTTTAATTTTTTCTTTCAATTTTGCCCTCTTTCCTACACCTCTGCAGGAGGACACTGGGAGTGGTGATACCTGGTCCCGGAGATGGCTGGTAGAAGATGTGGTGCTTTGGTGAGCTGCCAACAAGGTGGCCACCAGACCACCAGGAACAGGCTCTGTCAAGGGTGAGGACCTCCTTTCCCGGGGGCTGCTGCTCAACACACTCCAAGGGAGGTGGCATGAAAGGGGCCCCAATGGCCAGCCAGGGCTCAGCGCTGTCTGGACACCACCTCCAGCCCAGTCTCCTAATCAGCGCCCTGTCTTCCTCCTGAAAAACTGTGCCTTGGGTTGTCAGGGGTATCATTTGTCACATCTACCGTCTCAGAAATCTACACAATCACACACTCGGCTGATAAAAAATGAGTCAGTTTAACAGCCTTTTTTCTCTGAGAGGTTCCTCTAAAAAAAAGTGCTGCATTTACCTCTCATGTCCTAGTCCTGGCAGGGAGCTCTACAGTGCGTTTTAACAGTGACCCTCATACATCTCAGGTGGGAAGAGCAAGGGAAGGATGCAGCAGCTGGGACCATTCGGCATGTTCCAGGTCTTAGCTAGTGAGTTTATACTGTAATTGACTTGTATGAACCTCTTACAACCCAAATACCCTCATACACTGCTCTTTCAGGTCCCAAACAAAAAGCTGACATGCACTTGGGCAACTACTTCTGCTTTGTAGATATGTCTAAACAAGCCCATGATACTGGCACATGAACCCATGGTCCACCCGTACCACTCCATTGAGTCCCATGTTTCCTCCTCTTTCAGCAAGATACTATCTCGCATCTATGCATCTCAGGACTCACATCTGAATTTCAGAGCAGTGGGTAGACTTAGTCCCCCATAACCTTCGTTGCCAAGCTCAATGCTATTAACTCCACTTCAGACTATGGGACTGAAGGGTAAGAAACCTCGGTCCCAGGGCAAAGTGAACACGCAGTCAAGAAGAATAGAAATATTGTCCAGGGGCATAAGAGAAGGACAAAAAGAGGCTGGGCAGTAACCCATGATCTGGGATGTCCTCAACATGGGCTGTGGGTATGACTGTGTGCTCCAGCCTAAGCTGGCCCATGGCCATGGAAAGGGAGTGGTACCGCACAGCACCATCCTGTCATATATCAGAGGTGGGCATCTGTAAGGAGCAGCCTCTGCCTCATCCTGTGAGGGAAATCAAGACAGTCAGTTTACTTAGCATGGTTAAGGACAGATGTGATGAAAACCTGTTCTATGCAGCTTTCTCATGGCTGCAAGTGGTCATTCATAAAGTATTGGTGCACATCTGAGCATGTCCCTTTTGCTCTTGTCATGAAGTGCCTGTCCAAATTTCTGCCCACTACACACTAAAGTGATAGTTTCAGTTTCTATCTCACACCTGAATATTACACGTTAGTGAAGAAACCTCTCTAACCTAGCTGTAGAAGGAGCCCTTAACAGCACCAGCCTGAGCAGTGACACTTCTCTGAGCATGGGGGCTGTATGTGGTGTCCATGTAAGCCTCCTCTCTCCACATTTGTGTTTTCTCTCATTAGTGTTCACCTCATTATCAGTCTTTTCCCACAACCTGAGTTGATCATGCCTGCTTGGCCTGTGGAAATAACCATGGATGTCTATTTCTCTGTGCTCTGGCATCCAGGAGAGCTGAGGAGGTTTTTTGCTGGTGCCCCACAAGGCCCTCACCATAAGTGACCTGAGGCACTCTGATAATATTGAAAATTAAGTTCAGTCCAAGTCTACAACAGGACCAGCACCTCTCATTCCTCCCAGGAGGACAGGTAGGGAGAGAAAAGCCACATCAATTGCAAAACAGGGTTCCCAGAAATGTCCCCTTGATGACATTTCCAATATCCTCACGAAGCCAGGCTTCCCACATCTTGACAGCTCTGGCACTGACGGAGGCTTGTGCCCATCAGGAAAAGCTGGCTGCGAGGCACAATGGTGAAGAAATGTAACTTGTCAGATAAATATACAGCATCTATAAATCTCCCCGACTGTGTTTATACGGAGCCTTGGCACCTTCCCCGGTGCAAATAGGGGTTAAATTATTCCCTGTTCTATTTGTATTTAAATGTTATGTTTCTATGATAAGCGTAAGGCAGAGGTGTCAGACGGGCCCGGGCGAAGGAGACAGCACGCATGAAAGGTGAAATAATAGAGCATTGCAAACCAAGTGCTGAGAGGAGATGGGAAGGGGGAACACAGGAGCGAGGGGGATAAGGGGGAGGACGGGCACTAATTAAAGAGACAGAAGGGACAATGAGATGCAGGATGTTTGACCCTCTATGGAGCAAGAGGACAAGAACAAGAATCACAGCAATTGTGGAGGGACTGGGAGAAAATTAGGGTCACTCACAGAGAAACATGACACAGGTTTGTGTTTATCCAGATAGCTCTCACTAATGTATGTGTGCGCGTGGGGGTACATTTAGATAAGAGTATATAAATACACTTGTGTTCTTGTATTCCTTATGCAAAACAAAGAGGTTGAATCCTTGTATCAGGAAAGCGAAAGCCAGCTTTACCATCTAGAAGATCACATCCAAGGCCTTAGAAATAAAGAGGGAGAGATCTACCATCTTTGTGGCCCAGGCTAATAAGGAGGACCAACCAGAAGATCACCATGGTCCCTTTTAGCCACGAAACCCCTATTC